GCATCTGTAGTTCCAGCTACTTGGAAAGCTGAGGCAGAAGGATTGCCTAAGCCCAGCAGGTCGACACTGGGGTGGCCATGAGCAGGCCACTGTACTCCAGCCTGGGCGACAGAGTGAGACTCTGACTCAAAAAAAAAAAAAAAATTAAAGACAATGAGACTTCCTTATCCAAAACTGGTCTTTTGGAGTATTTGGCTATTATCTCTCTTTCCTGATGTCTCTGAAGGTCAGATAAAGATTTTAGTTCTGCCTGGTGACATGGAAATTCAGCACGAGTGACTCCATTTTGGTTTGGTCTGTTGGACCTTGTGCAGGAGATCATTCCAAACCAATGGCCTCCTGTCTCCCAAAGTGCTGGGAATACAGGCATTAGCCACCATGCCCTGCCTTATTTTTGTACTTTTTATGTCCTACCAACTACACCACTTGTATATCTTAACCTTTATAATAAAAGTAACTGAAAAGTAACCAATTTGCTTTTTGTTCTGTTTCTGCTTTCCTTAGCCCTTTTCTATCTATAAAGCCAGTCTCTTCTGCTCAGTTCATGAGAACACCCAAGGTAATGCCTGATTTGTGACCTGCAAATACATGTCAATTAGATCTATAACTAATCTGTTGTGATTGTGTCTTTTGACAATGCTAGGCACCATATTAGGTCTCAGTGTACAGTGTGCACAAAAAAGACATGGCCCTTGCCACAAGAGGAGCTGAGAGTCTAGGAGAGAGAGAATAAATCATTATGAAGAAGTTTGGGCCATCCTCAACTTTTCTCTCTCACATTCCACATCCAGTCAGGCAATCAACTAAGCACTACTTTCAAAATACAGATGTCTAGAATCTAACTACTTACCACCTCTACCATCCTCATCTCTCAAAAAGATTACAGCAGCCTCCTGAAGGGTCTTCCCACTTCCATCCTCCTCCTGTCAAGTCTATCCTCCATGAGAGGGATCCTTTTACCACTCAAGTCAGATCCAGCTACTCCTCTGCTGAAAGTCCTGCATTTCGCTTGGGGTGAAAGTTAAAATCCTCACAGAAGCCCAAGACAAGCCACCTGTGACCAGTTCCTCTACCTACTCTGACCCTTCACCACACTCTTGGCTCACGCACTCAGTTCTAGCCACCCTGCACACATCACACGTTTCTGTCTTAAGATCTGTGCCAAGAACTCCTTCTCTCAGAACTCACCTGGCGAACTCCCTCATCGCTTTCAAGTGTTTGCTGAACGAGCTTGACAACTCTACTTCAAACTGCCACTCTCTGCCCCATCACCACTCCACAACTCCTGATCTCCCTTGCCCTGTGCTCTACGTTTTCTTTACTCCATAGCTCTTGTCACTTCTAATAACACTCAAGGTATTGCCCGATTATTTATTTATTCATTATGCTTATTATTTACTGTTTATCTATTCTAACTACAAATGCAAGCTCTATGATGGAGGGCTCTTTCTTTGTTTTGTTATCTTACATGTTCCAAGACTCTGGTACGTGACTGGAGACCAGTAAGTATATACTGAAGCACCGAATGAATTTATCAGAGAAACAAAGATTTATAAGCCTGATACTCAGTGGTGTACACAGCTCATGGGAAAATAAACTTAATACAACTTCTAGAGGGTAATCTACCAATATATGTTTAAATATCATATTATATTAACATTTGCACTTGGATGTCCCCTTTGAGGGGACATTGTAAATCTAGCAAACCACTCAGATGTCCCCTCTCAGAGGATATAAAAAGATTGTTGGTGATTATACAAACTTATGCCAGAGCAAATTTTTTTTTTTAGTTGGAGTCTCACTCTGTCGCCCAGACTGGAGTGCAGTGGCATGCTCCCGGCCACCGCAGCCTCAGCCTGCTGGGCTCCGGCGATCCTTCCGCCTCAGCCTTCCAAGTAGCTGGAACTACAGGCATGCACTACCACACCCGGCTAATTTTTTTGATTTATTGTAGAGATGAGGTCTCGCCAAGTTGCCCAGGCGGGTCTCGAAATCACGGGCTCAGGCAATACACTCATCTCAGCCTCCCAAAGTGCGGGATTACAGGCTGAACCACCGAGCCCGGCTGCAAATTTTTTAAAAATGTATCTTTCTTTTGAAGTTTTCCATTCAAAAACAATGAAGAACCTATGTCCCATTTGAAATTTGTCAAGCATTTGACTGATGAGTTGAGAAATTGTTTTTAGGAATCACAATTGCATCCTTCCACATCATCTTCAAACAACAGACAGAACAATAAATGACATAGTATTAATGTGGGAGGAAGAAAATGAGACTGCATTTCCTGCTCAAATAGAAAAACACCAGGTGGAAGACGTTAAAACACATGCACATGTATCAATGAACCCACAGAGCATGTCAGTGACTGTTTCACACGTTACCACAGGTTAGGAAAAGCAAGATATAAAATTGTGGTCTTTTTGTCATAAATAATTTTCTCAATCTCCAAAATTCCATTTTAAGGCAAATATTACAATAAAAGACTTGGTTCCAATGCTATACTAGTGAATATGAAGTGATTAGTTTTTCACTATTCTATAAAAAAAGAGAGGTTGAGCTGCTGGTAGGTGGGATGCAAGATGTCGTCAAGTGCAAAGCGTTAAATACATATTAAGGCAGGGCTCGGTGGCTCAGCCTATAATCCCAACACTCTGGGAGGCCGAAGCAAGTGGAATGCCTGGGCCCGTGGATTTTACACCAGCCCAGGCAACTTGGAGAGACCTCATCTCTACAAAATAAAATAAAAAATTCTGGCTACTTGGAAAGCTGAGGCGGAAGGACCACAAGAGCCCAGCAGGTCAACACTGGGGTGGCTGTGAGTATGCCACTGCATTCCCACCTGGGTGACGGAATAAGACTCCAACTCAAAAAAAGGAAAAGAAAAGAAAAGGAAAGAAATATATATATAAAGTCTTTAGATGTTCAGCCCTTTCATTAGGTAATTCTACTTCTTGGCCAGGAGTGGTGGCTCATGCCTGTAATCTCAGCGCTTTAAGAGGCTGAGGAAGGAGGATCATTTAGACCAGCCTGGGCAACATGGTGAAACTTTTTCTCCACAAAAAAAAATAGAAAACTTAGCCGGGCATGGTGGTGCACATTTATAGTCCCAGTTACTCGGGAGACTGAGGTCAACCTGGGCAACTTGGAGACCTCATCTACAATAAATCAAAAAATTAGCTAGGCATGGTATCATATGCCTTTGATTCCAGCTACCTGGAAGGCTGAGGCAGAAGGATCGGCTGAGCCCAGCAGGTCGAGGCTGCAGTGGCCATGAGCATGCCACTGCTCTCCAGCCTGGACAACAAAGTGAGATTCTGATTCAAAAAAAAAAAAGAGAGACCAAGTACAGTAGCTCACGTCTATAATCTCAGCACTTTGGGAGACCAGCCTGGGCACCTTAGCTGGGTGTTGTGGCACATGCCTGTGGTTTCAGCTACTTGGAAAGCTGAGGTGGAAGGACCGCCTGAGCCTAGTAGATTGAGGCTGTAGTGGCTATGATTGTACCACTGCACTCCAGCCTGGGCAACAGAGTAAGATTCCAATTTAAAAAAAAAAGACGACTTGGTTTGATGCATGCACATCCTGAGGTTTATTTAATAACATAAATTGTATGTGTTACTATAGTAAATATAGATAATTTTCAATGATTGCATGAAATCTGCGTGCGTCTCTGATTTTTGGTTTTTTTTGAGTTGGAGTCTCAGTCCGTCACCCAGACTGGAGTGCAGTGGCTGCTCCTGGACACCGCAGCCTCAACCTGCTGGGCTCTGGCGATCCTTCCACCTCAGCCTTCCAAATAGCTGGAACTACAGGTACGTGCTATGACGCCCGGCTAATTATTTGATTTACTGTAGAGATGAGGTCTCGCCAAGTTGCCTAGGTGGGTCTCGAATGCGCAGGCTCAGGCAATTCACTCACCTTGGCCTCCCAAAGTGCAGGATTACAGGCTGAGCCACCGAGCCCGGCCATATCTCTGATTTTTTAAAATCTATATACTTAGAAGTAGAATTCTCTCTTTTTTTTGTTTTAAAAGACAGGGTTTTGTTCTGTCTCCCAGGCTGGATCATAGTTCACTGCATCCTCAAACTTCTGGGCTCAAGTTATCCTCTTGCCTCCTCTGCTTTCCAAAGTGCTGGAATTATAGATGTGAGTCACTGCACTTGGTCTTTTTTTTTTTTTTTTAGTCTGAATTTCACTCTGTTGTCCAGACTGGAGTGCAGTGGCATGCTCATGTCCACTACAGCCTCGACCTGCTCGGCTCAGGCGGTCTCTCTGTCTCAGCCTTCCCAATAGCTGGAATCAAAGGCATATGCCACCATGCCCAGCTAATTTTTTGATTTATTGTAGAGATGAGATCTCACCAAGTTGCCCAGGTTGATCGCAAACTCCTGGGATCTAGTGATCCTCTCACCTCCGCCTACCAAAGTGCTGGGATTACAGGCGTGAGCTACCGTGCCTGGTCAAACCAAGTAGTTTTTTTTTTTTTTTTGAGTTGGAGTCTCACTCGGTTGCCCAGACTGGAGTGCAGTGGCTGCTCCCGGCCACCACAGCCTCGACCTGCTGGGCTCTGGCGATCCTTCCGCCTCAGCCTTCCGAGTAGCTGGAATTACAGGCATGTGCTACCATGCCCGGCTGATTTTTTGATTCATTGTAGAGATGAGGTCTCACTGCCCAGGTGGGTCTCGAACCCACGGGCTCAGGTAATCTACTCACCTCAGCCTCCCAAAGGCATGGGATTGCAGGCTGAGTCACCGAGCCTGGCACCAATTAGTCTTAAGCAGAGATTTAAGTGCAATTCCTCCTCAAAGCACAAGAGATGTCTATTCTGATGCCTGTCTCAGTAGGATTTAGGGATGAGGGCACATCCATTCAGTTCTCTTAATCTGTTCTACAATTCAAAACCCAAACAGAAAACTGTCTAATCTGTGTTATTACCAGCTATTACTAAACCTTTCAGAAAATCATCAGCACATTAAAGGTAGATCCCACCATTCACTCACATGATGTCCAGCACGGAATCATTCCGAATGACCTTATGGGAGACATCAGCGAGCAGGAAAAGACCTCCATCTGTCCTCCGGATGCTAGCTGCATAGCCTGGCCAGATCTGCAATCTGAATAGAGGCATGGTCTTTACTCTAGGGTTCTGAAAGAACACAGACACCTCCATGCTACCATTTAAAGCAACACTTTGACTTTTTCCAGTTAGAACTCAAAAAAATAAAAATATTAAAAATAAAATAAAACGGTCAGGCTCGGTGGCACAGCCTGTAATCCCGCGCCTTGGGAGGCTGAGGTGAGTGGATTGCCTGAGCCCGCGGGTTCAAGACCCGCCTGGGTAACTTGGCGAGACCTCATCTCTACAATAAATCAAAAAATTAGGTGGGCATGGTAGCATGCGCCTGTAGTTCCAGTTACTTGGAAGGCTGAGGCGGAAGGATCGCTGGAGCCCAGCAGGTCAAGGCTGCGGTGGCCGGGGAGCGTGCCACTGCACTCCAGTCTGGGCGACAGAGTGAGACTTCAACTCAAAAAAATAAATAAATAAATAAAAATAAAATAAAATAAAATAATACTTTGAGTTGACACTGCCTTTCCCTAACAACAATGAAAAAGCCCAGGAAACAAATTAAATCAACAGTATCACAAACTTACTAAAAAAACCAAACTGGGAAGATTTTTAACTGATAAACTGAATTCACTACAATAAAACACTGCTTATATTATGGTCTAAAATACAATGGTTGCAATGAAAAATTTATTTGAAACACTCAAAAGTAAGGAGGAAGAAAAATTATCACCAACCTGTGATGCTGTAGTACCATAGCACTAGTAGGGTCATAAAAGTTTCTCCCCACAAGCTTCATATCTAAAAGTTTCATTACCCTGAAATAAAAAGCAAGAACAGGTTTTCTAATAAAAGGATAATAAAATTAGGCTCAGTTACTCTTAGCTACATTTGCCTTTGGAAGACTAAAGGGTCAGAAATATTTGTGTTCTTTGTACAATATAGCTTTTATGTTGAATTTTGCTAAAATAAAAACAAAAATTCCCAAAGCATTTATCTTGAAGTATGTGCAACTGACTGCTGTCTTTCCAACTTACAGCTAACCAAATCAGAGTTGATTTTCCAGGCTCAATGTACATTACTTTCACCATTAACTAAAAAGAAAGCAAGAGAGCACATTTCTAAGTTTGCAAGTAACAGTTTGGCAAAGGGAGTTAAGTTTATTTCTTGTAGTTCAGCTTAATAGGTAGAAATTAGGTGCTGAGTTACATGAATAAAGAGATAGTTTAGGAATAGCACCTGTACGAAAATTAGAGTGTCACAAAAGAAGTTAAACAATTATGAGCTGTCTATAATCCAAAATTCAAGGGACTGGGAAAAATTCTTCCAGAAAATATTTTTGCACACCACCTTTCTAAGTAGTCCCCTTGTTAATAATACCATTAAATATGCACTATAAAAAACTGCTTTTAAAATTCCTGAAGGAACCCATTCCCTTATCTAGTTACCTCCAAACCTAATTTCATATACCCAAACCTGGCCTATCTCTTATAAGAGAATTTTTGAGTGAGTTAGTTTCAATATTATCCATTTATTTATCAAATGCTTCTAAAACCATCTACATATACACTGTAGGCTTCTTGAAGAACACTGTTGCAAATACAAGACTAAGTTAAAGGAACATAAGACTTCAGCTATTTTCTCACCGACGGAAAACAACATTGTAGAAGGGAATGCACAAGTTAGAACAGGGCTCCAGGATTTTTGTCAGTTGAATCTTAATGCTGATTTCGGCACCATCCGTTTTCCTTTGACTTTTTACCTCAATAACCTAATAAATACACACAAGTAAAAAGAAATGACAAAACTGTCAAGTCCTAATCTAATCTAATTGTGTTCCAGCAGACACTAAAATAAATATATACGTATGTATTTGATTTTTGTAGAGACAAGGTCTCACTATATTGCCTAGGCTGGTCTCAAACTCCTAGGCTCAAGCAATCCTCTCGTCTGGGCCTCCCAAAGTGTTGTATTATAGGCATGAGCCACCGTGCTCAGTCTAACACCAAAACATCTGAAAACATTTTTTCTACTTTTCTCACACTGTTGCTCACACTGGCAAAGAAACAGCATAATAGCTAAGATTAAGAAGTTATTTGGTAAGAGAAGCCCAGTAAAGTTTGAATTTGCAATTTTAAGCCATTCTTTATCACTGAGGTCAAAGGCTTCCAACCACCCCTCTCATGTGAGAAGGTGCTTCTTAAAGAACTCAAGTGTTATATCATGTAGAAATCTATCTTACTTCTAGGAATAGGAAGGTACAACTCAATGTTCAGGAAGTCTATGACTTCCAACCACTCTAAACACCAGAGCACTGTTTGGTTTCATTCTAATGTCCATTTCATGTTGGTCTTACTTGTTGAAGCTTAATAGGCAAGTAGAGAATGGATCCATCAAAAGCAGTGACATTTCCGGTGATAGCTTGATGGTCCTTCAACATGCCAAACCTCATGCTTTTGCACTCCACACTGGGGCTAGAAAATAATAAAGAGGATTTCACTTCAATTGGTCTCAAACAGCAATCTTTTTTTTTTTCTGAGTTGGAGTCTCACTCTGTCGCCCAGATTAGAGTGCAGTGGCACGCTCATGGACACCCCAGCGTCAACCTGGCAGGCTCAGGCAATCCTCCCACCTCAGCCTTCCAAGTAACAGGAACTACAGGCGAGTCCTACCATACCCAGCTAATTTTTTGTTCGTTTTTTAATTGTAGAGATATGGTCTCACTAAGTTGCCCGGGCTGGTCTCAAACCTGCAGACTCAGGCAATCCACTTGCCTCAGCCTCCCAAAGTGCTGGAATTATAGGCTGAGCCACCAAGTTCGGTCTCAAACACCGAGTTCGGTCTCACCACAACTGTGCAACAGGTATATTAGAGAAGCAGTCATTAGTAACCGCTGCTCCATCTAGTGGTCAGATTAAAAATTACATATTTGACTAAAAATAGAACTGATTTAGGAATATCTGCTGGTGGCAAAACATAAAAAAATATAGAATGGATGGATGGATGGATGAATGAATGAATGACTGAATGAATAAGTAAAATAAAATCAACATGCAATCCCACCACTGAAGGACAAATGCCTTAACATGTTAGTGTATATTCCTTCCAGATTTTATTTTATTTTTTGAGTTGGAGTCTCACTCTGTCACCCAGGCTGGAGTGCAGTGGTAGACGTACTGGGCTCAGGTGATCCTTCCGCTCCAGCCTTCCAAGCAGCTGGAACTACAGGCATGTGCTACCATGCCCGGCTATTTTGTGTGTGTGTGTGTGTGTGTGTGTGTGTGTGTGTGTGTGTGTGTGTGTTGGGAGTTTCACTCCGTCGCCCAGACTGGAGTTCAGTGGCTGCTCCCAGAGCCTCGACCTACTGGGCTCCGGCAATCCTTCCGCCTCAGCCTTCTAAGTAGCTGGAATTACAGGCGTGCGCTACCACACCCAGCTAATTTTTTAATTTATTGTAGAGATGAGGTCTCAACAAGTTGCCCAGGCGGGTCTTGAACCTGCGGGCTCAGGCAATCCACTCACCTCAGCCTTCCAAGTCGCGGGATTATAGGCTGAGCCACCGAGCCTGGCTTAATTTTTTGATTTATTGTAAAGATGAGGTCTCACCAAGTTGCCCAGGCTGGTCTCGAAGCCATAGGCTCAGGCAATCATCTCACCTCGGCCTCTCAAAGTGCTGGGATTATAGGCGTGAGCCACCGTGCCTGGCCATCCTTCCAGATTTAACCAAAGAATCAGAACATTCTTTGTGTAAAAGCCCAGATAGTAAGTATTTCAGGCTTTGTGGACCAAATGGTCTCTCAATTTTGCCATCATAGCACAAAAGCAGCCATAGACAATATGTGAACAAATGAGCATGGCTATGTGCCAATAAACTTTATTACAAAAACAGTCAGTGGGTCAGCTGTGACCTTCAGGCCGGTCACAGTTTGCCATCTCTGCTCTAGAGTCTTCAGAGATACATCCTTTAAAAAAAAAACGATTTTACTCTAGCCATTTTTCATTCATGACAATTCCAACTTTTTATGATTCGATGTAACAAATTTAACAGCTTTGTAAAACTCCAGTAGCCACTTTATACAATGATTGTCCCGTTATATCACAGGAATACTGAACCTTGTTCTACAATTGCAAAGTTTAAACAAATCCAAGGCTAAAAAAGGTCAAGCACGTTCAAGTATGAGAGGATACCCCCCAAAAAACTGGAATTATCTTTTGGAGGGCAGGTCCCTTGTTACAGGCCTCCCCCACTAGGTAGGTGCCCTAGGATAATCCAGCAGCAGCATCAGTGGATCAGTTAATGTTGTTGAGAAGCTGCATTCAGCTTCAGTGAAGTTTTTTCTTTTTTTTTGAGTTGGCGTCTCACTCTGTCGCCCAGACTGGAGTGCAGTGGCCGCTCCGGGCCACCGCAGCCTCGACCTGCTGAGCTCCAGCGATCCTTCCGCCTCAGCCGTCCCAGTAGCCGGAATTACAGGCATGCACTACCACGCCTGGCTGATTTTTTGATTTATTGTAGAGATGAGGTCTTGCTGCCCAGGCGGGTCTCGAACCCACGGGCTCAGGCAATCCACTCACCTCAGCCTCCCAAAGGTGCGGGATTATAGGCTGAGCCACTGAGCCCGGCTTCAGTGAAGTTTTTTTTGGAGACTCTTTCAATGTGTTTGCTCATTTCATCATGGGAAATTTACCAGCACATCTGCCAACACGGTGCTGAGTGTTCAGCAGGTTTCTGTGTTTTTTTTTTACCAAAACAGCATGACCTCCATGCCCCACCCTCCCTATTCACCTGATCTCATCCTGAACTTTTTGTTTCCCTGGATGAAAAAGTCCTCAAAGGAAAATGTTTTGCTGATGTGAAAGAGGTGAAACAAAAAATGGCAGAAGCAGTAAAAGGCATCCAAATTGACAAGCTTAAAAATTGTTTTGAACATGGAAAAAGTGTCTCAATAGGTGTATCATATCAAACAGAGAGTACTGTGACGGTGACTTAAGTTTAAACATGTAAGCATAAATAAACTTTTTTTTTGAGTTGGAGTTTCACTCTGTCATCCAGGCTGGAGTGCAGTGGCACACTCACGGCCACCCCAGTGTCAACCCGCTGAGCTTGTGATCCTTGCACTCCAGCCTTCCAAGCAGCCAGAACTACAGGTGTACGCTACTATGCTTGGCTAATTTTTTGATACATTGTAGAGACGAGTTCTGCTAAGTTGCCCAGGCTGATCTCAAACCAGCAGCCTCAGGCAATCCACTGGCCTTGGTCTCCCAAAGTGCTGGGATTATAGGCTAAACCACCAAGCCCAGCCTCCACCATCTCTTTAATGCTCACTTCCTCCCTATGCATTTCATAACAAGCCTGTTCCCTGGAGTCCAGTTTCACCTTTTGGCTCCTTCCCTCCACCTGTCACATGTGCTCAGCTTTCTTATCTCGAAGAAACTGTTAAAGCAATCCTGTTACTCTCATTAATTATCATTCCATTTCTCATTCCTCTTAAAAACTTTTAAAGTGAGTAGCCAAGTCTCTTGGCCTATGCCCTCCCTTTTCCCCCTCAATCTTTAATTTTTTTTCTCTGTAACTCTGACAAAACTACTGGGAAATCACCAAGAGTGTTCTCAAAAGTAAATCCAATAATTTTTTCCCCTGTGGCCAAAGTCAGCCACCTTCTCCTTCTCCTCATTAAAAAGGGTCCTTCCTTTAGTCTTTATAATGTATCTTCAGGTTATCTCCTCCCCCGCCCCAGCTGTTCCTTTCTTCTTTCTTTCACTCTACTTCCGCCTGTATCACCAATGCAATTTGTGAAGCTCCCCTTCACAGATTACAGACTTCCTAGCACAGCCATTTTTGAAAACAGTAAAGAGGGTCCTCAAAAAACTAGAAGTAGACCCCTAACATATGACCTAGCAATTCCACTTCTGAACATTTATCCAAAAGGACTGAAATCAGTATGTTGAAGAGATTATCTGTGCTCCCATGTTCACTGCAGCACTGTTCACAATAGCCTAGATATGGAATCAACGTAAGTGTCCATCAGCAGATGAATGAATAAAGAAAACATGTATATCGTATACACAATGGAATATTAGACAGCCTTTTAAAAGAAGGAAATTCTGTCATATGCAACAATATGGACAGACCTGGAGGATATTATGTTAAGTGAAATAAACCAAGCACAGACAGACAAATAACCACATGATCTCACCTATATGTGGAACCTAAAAAAAGTCAAAATTCATAGAACAGAGAGTAGAAAGGTGATTGCCAGAGGCTTAGGGGATGAGAGGAATGAGGAAAAGGGAACTGCTGGTCAAAAGCTACAAAGTTTCAATTAGGCAGAATAAGTTTTAGGGATGTATTGCAGTCTGTGGTAAACTATGGTGACCATACTTAGTAACAACATATATTTCAAAATTGCTAAAAGAGATTTTAGGTCTGACTTGGTGGCTCAGCCTGACATCCCAGCATTTTGGGAGGCTGAGGCAAGTGGATTGCCTGAGCCCGTGGGTTCGAGACCAGCCCAGGCAACTTGGCGAGCCCTCATCTCTACAATAAATCAAAAAATTAGCTAGGTGTGGTAGCACACGTCTGTAGTTCTAGCTACTTGGAAGGCTGAGGTGGAAGGATCATCGCAGTCCAGCAGGTTGATGCTGGGGTGGCCATGAGCATGCCACTGCACTCCAACCTGGGCGATGGAGTGAGACTCCAACTCAAAGAAAAGATTTTAAATGTTCTTACCACAAAAAGGTAAGTAAATGAGGTGACGGATATGTTATTAGCTTGATTTAATCTTTCTGCAATGTGTACATATATCAAAATATCACACTGTACCCCATAAATATGTAAAGTTATTACTGGCAGTTAAAAAATTCAAACTGGCTGGACTTGGTGGCTCAGTCTGTAATCCCAGCACTTTGGGAAGCCAAGGCTAGTGGATTGCCCGAGCCCTTGGGTTCGGGCCCAGCCCAGGCAACTTGGTGAGAACTCATCTCTACAATAAATCAAAAATTAGCCAGGCATAGTAGCACATGCCTGCAGTTCCAGCTACTTGAAAGGCTGAGGCGGAAGGACCACCGGAGCCCAGCAGGTTGACGCTGGAGTGGCCGTGAGCGTGCCACTGCACTCCAGCCTGGGCGACAGAGTGAGACACCAACTCCAAAAAAAAAAAAA